GGGGGAGATTTCTTGGAGGTGCGCGGGGGGGAAAGGATTCCGGTAGACGCTAGGGGTGCTGGTTCGCAAACGCCGGCCCCGTGTCAGCGGGAAGGGAAATTAAAACCCTTTTTTTTTTTTTTAAAGGGATGTGGGAGGGGGGTAAAAAGGCAGAATAGGCCTAGTTATTTCTGCTCAGGCTCGTCTCCTCGGGTAGGAGATAGTTACGGTGCCGGCTGCGAGAAAATACAATAAAATAAATCAGCGAGGGGATTGGAAAGGAGGAATAAAATCCAAGAGGAGAGGGGAAAAAAAAAATAAATAAAAGGCGCTCTAATGGGATTGGTTCTGTAGCGTTATTTTATGGCATCCCTCTCCACGTTGTACAGGCAGATTAGATTTGGCTTCTCACTTTTATGGCGGGTTTTAGAGGGGAAGGTAAATTTGAGGGTCGCTGTCGGCTCCCGGCACGGCGGAGGAGCAGCTCTGGGAGGTGGGAAACTCCTCCCTGAGCGAAAAGAGCCTCCGCTTCGCTGCTCTGGCTGCGAATTCGGGGGTTATTTACGCGCATAAAATGATTTTGGGGGTGTCCGTGTTGCGTTTGGACGCGTTTCTTAAAGCACTGCTTAGGTTTTCCTGTCTCTGTGGGAATTCCACGTTTTAGCAGCAAATCCGACTGTTCACCTTAAAGTACCTGAAAAATCCCGCGTCATCACGAGCGGGGAGAGCGGCGGGGGTTTCATTCCTGGCCATAACTGTCTTTTGTTGGGAAAAAATGGAGGAGTTCCTGGAATCTACGGAAGATATTCACAGGAATTTTGGCGCAGGGGAAAGGCAGGTTTTCTCTGATACAGTCTCTCCGCTGCGGCATTTAAATGCAATTAATTCGGGAGATGCTTTGACCAAAAAAATGTTCTGCCTTTTGAAATACAAAGGGAAGGGGAAAAAAAAAAAAAGGAAGAGAAAAGGGGGGTGCTGTACTTTTAATCTCTTGGGCAACTGTAATTTTAAACGAAATCTCAACATGATGCTACCCTCATTAGTTCCGAATGAAGGTTCATTACCTAGACAGTATGAATATTTTATTGCTTTATATCCCTTTTTCGGAAATGAAACGCCTTTGATCTTTTTCTCGGGTTGTAAAAAGAATTGCCTGTCATTAAAAAAAAAACCTGTCGTCCCATCTGCCTTTACATTCTGTATTTCTTTTCATCTGTTTATTTCTTTTTTTTTCTCCCCCCCCCTTTCTTTTTTAAAATACGATTTATCTGCACTCGCGCCCAGAAACCCAAACCTTGGTTGACCTCTAAGAACGAAAAATGGATTAAATCTTTGCGCTGCGCATCAGAAAATAATCGCGAGGGTTTCAGGGTGAGGTGGGGACAGAGCTGTGACATTTTACTTTTAAAAGGCCGTCATTTGGATTCGAGTCTCGTTGTGCGTCTACACCCAAATATTCAGTCCAGAAGCTGATTTTTTAAGATCAGAGACAAATTAACGTACAAGATACGGAGGAGAGGGTGGAAAACTCCCAGTTTTTCTCTCCTGGCATCGGCTATTCGCGTGCTGAGTGGGTGCTTTAATTAATCGCCTTTCCTCTCAAGAGCGAATATTTTAACCGGCTTCAGCTATAGATTAATTCTCGAGCTCTCGAGCCACAAAACTTTCCCCCCTCCCTGCCCCAGAAGAGAATTATGGCGGTAGGAGAAGATCTCTGACCGAGGAGGACGCATCTGTCTTCTATATGTACCCTGTAGATCCGAATTTGTGTAGAGGAAGTTGGGTCACAAATTCGTATCTAGGGGAATATGTAGTTGACACAAACACTACAGGTCACAAACCCAGAAGGAATTATCCCCCCACCCCCC